TCAAAGACTCTCTCAGAGATGCCACCTTCAGTGAGCATCAGAATGTGCCCCAGTTTCTTCAAAACCTTCAGCACATTCTAGAGAGAGTCCACCGCTTTGCCCATGATAATCTATTGAAAGCCCAGGTGAGAATGAAGACTCATTACGACCAGACCAGCAAAGTAAGAAAATTCAAGCCGGGAGACTTCGTCCTTGCTTATTTCCCTATCCCAGGTTCACCTTTACAAAACAGATTTTCAGGACCCTACTGCGTCAAAGAGTGCAGGAATAATAATAATTATGTGATAGAGACTCCAGATAGGCGGCGGAAGACCCAGCTGTGCCACGTCAACCTCCTGAAGCAATATAATGGTACTCCTCCCACTGTCTTGATTAATTGTTCTACCTTCACAGAACCCTACATCCACAGTGAGACCATCCCGGCTTCTTCTCCCGAAAGCACTGACAAGGAGTCGGCGCTTTCTAATTCCAAAATCCTTAATGATCTTCCCAAATGCTTTCAGGATAATAATCGTGCTCCTATGCCCTCTTCTAATTCCACTCTCACCTCGTCAGATAAGCCCTTCATCCTCCATGTCGACGCCAATGGTACCGACGATGGTGGTGTCGTGATGCAGCAACGAGGCGAGAAGAATACACCTGTCAGCGACTACTGCTACAAGGATCTACGGAACAATTGGCAAGGAGCTACTCTTCCTCATCCTGAAGCTTCAGCACTTCACTCCACACCTGAAAAGTGCTCGGTCCACCATCAATACGGACCACACCACCCTACACCTCCTGCAGCACGCCCACTTCTCATCTCAACGTCTTCTACTATGGGCTTGCTACCTGCAGAAATTCAACCTGGAGACACGCTATACCAAGAGTCTGACAACATCTTAGCCCATGATCTCTCCAGAGTTTATGAAGTAGAAGCAACTCCATCCATTACTCCACCACATAACGACGTACTTCTTCCAGAACCGCAGGCTTCGGGGGAGAGTTGTGACGATAATCTCCTTCAAGAGATTGAGCCTGCTCTTCCCTCCAAAATTACGTCTTCACAATTATATAAAAGACTATGGAAGAAATGTCCAACAACGACAACAACACCAGCACCAGCAAGGCTTGCCAGGGTGAGCAGAAACGTATGCAACCAGCCACCTGTTCGAACTCCAACCACCAAACTACCCGTTGATCGCTACGGCTCCGCTGATTGGTCGCCGGTCTGGCTGCACCTGCACTCGCCCCCAATACTACCTGATGTCTGGGGTCGCCCCAACATCAGTCCTCAGAATGTTCCGTGCTTTCGTAGCCAGCACTCCTCCCAGCTAGACGTTAGCGTGTACTGAGAGAGGTGGTGGCTTTAAGCCAATATTCCAGCACCTCCCACTTAACTGTTGTATTGCACTTCTTGTTATTTTGCCTTAACGTAACTTTCATTTTGTCATTTAAGTATTCTTATTATTTTGATTCATTGATTTTATTATAAGAATTTGTTTGTGCATTATTTTCATGTTTTGATTTATTTAACGTAATTAAAATTTCATTGTTAAAGTTTACTTGTGTTTTGTGTGTCTTCTCCTTACCTTACCACAGACGAAGTTCCAGTTTTTCTATTTTTTTTTATAACTATGTGACGAGGCCATACCCCTAGCCTTAAACAGCCGAACACCAACGCGTTACCGTCACAGCTGCCTTAATCGACTGAGCTGCGTTATTGTGATTTCTGTGTGTAATGAAGTAAGGGCGAAGAGGGAGAACGGCCTATTGACATAGCTCGAGTGCAGGGGGGAGTTGTGTAAAACCCTCTTTGTGTCTCGGAGAGGCTGCAGAATCCAGTAAGTTCAGAAGAACTTCAGTTTCAACTCTTTTGACCATGTCGATTAAGGCAGCGTCTGGGATGCTCTCGGACGCAGGTTCAAATCCTCGTCACGGCCCTTGTGGATTTGTTCATACCCCTCAGCTTGGGTACCAGTCTGGTGGCATACCTTTGAATCTTCTCCAATTTAGTCTTCAGTTTGAGTAGATAAGGACTATGCTGAGGCTGCATACTGCAAGATTGGTCTGACATATGTGGTATACAGGGTTCTGAATGATTCCTTCCACAAGTTCCTAAAGGCCGTTCATATGTTGGCCAACCTGGCATATGCCGCTGATGTTATCCTCTTGATGCCCAGGATATGGGCTTCAGGGGACAGGTCTGGCGAGATATCAACCCCCGGGTCCTTCTCTCTGATCCTTGAAGTATTTCATCTCCCAGATGGTACCTTGTATCTGGTCTCCTGCTCCCTACACCTATCTTTATTACCTTACATTGGCTTGGGTTAAACTCTAACAACCATTTGTTTGAATAGTCCTTTAGTTTGTCCAGGATTGTTCAGTGGTGCCACTGGTGGTCCAGGATGGGTGTGTGGTGGTCCAAGATGGGTGTGTGGTGGTCCAGGATGGGTGTGTGGTGGTCCAGGATGGGTGTGTGGTGGTCCAGGATGGGTGTGTGGTGGTCCAGGATGGGTGTGTGGTGGTCCAGGATGGGTGTGTGGTGGTCCAGGATGGGTGTGTGGTGGTCCAGGATGGGTGTGTGGTGGTCCAGGATGGGTGTGTGGTGGTCCAGGATGGGTGTGTGGTGGTCCAGGATGGGTGTGTGGTGGTCCAGGATGGGTGTGTGGTGGTCCAGGATGGGTGTGTGGTGGTCCAGGATGGGTGTGTGGTGGTCCAGGATGGGTGTGTGGTGGTCCAGGATGGGTGTGTGGTGGTCCAGGATGGGTGTGTGGTGGTCCAGGATGGGTGAGTGGTGCCACTGGTGGTCCTCACACTCTGGCCATGGAGACCATAACCAACAAGGTGGTGGGTGACGCGGGCACCACACCCTACCAACCGACCAATTGGCACGTGATGAGGTCATAATAAGGACTGGACCCGTGCCCAATCACCTCTCCCTGCCCGGGACACAGTATCCAAGATGTTAGAGGCGTAATGCATGCCTGGCCAGCAATATGGGCGCTAATAAAGTTCCAGGGGAAGTATATTAGCGTGTTGGGTTGAGTAATAAAGTTCCAGGGGAAGTATATTAGCGTGTTGGGTTGAGTAATAAAGTTCCAGGAGAAGTATATTAGCGTGTTGGGTTGAGTAATAAAGTTCCAGGAGAAGTATATTAGCGTGTTGGGTTGAGTAATAAAGTTCCAGCGAGCGTGGGCGTGCTGACATGCGCCTGCCAGGGACGGTATATTGGTCAGCGCTCAGGTCAGCAGCAGACGTCAGTGTAGCGGGCGTGCTGGCAGGTGACAACATCCGTCACCCACGGACCACATTCACCAACCACTTACGCAACCACTTACGAACCTCTACATCTTTTCTTAAGCTTTGGTTACATTTATTAAACAGTTTACAAGCATGAAAACTTGCCAAACAGCTGTTGTTATTGTTATAAACAGCCTCCTGGTGCTTCGGAGCTCATTAACTGTTTAATAATTGTAAACAAAGTCGCCAAAGATTGAGAAAAGATGTAGAGGCTTGTAAGTGCTTGCGTAACTGCTTGGTGAATCTGGCCCCAGGGCTGTAGGAGGCTGGATCCCTGAACCCCACGCGTGTGAAGCCCAAGCTTTATGGGGCTGGGCTGTGAGAAGTATCTGGCGGTGAGTTGAGCGGTGAGGAATATATAGTAAATGAGTTGAGCACACACACGCCCGGTCAACACCGCGCGGCGGCACGCTACCATCGGCGTCCTCGACGATCTGTGTGAGCAACGTCTTGCTTGTGTAACTAACATGTGTGTAGAGTGGCGTGATACAAGGTGTGTGGAGAGTCCAAGACTGCCACAGGCAGGGAGGTGGAGAGAGAGAGATGGGTTGGCACTACACTACACGGTATAATAAGGTTGTCATGAGGTGCACATGAGAGCAGCCACACCCCGTGTGCCCCCCGCCACCCTCCTGGGCGTGTGTGACACAACTCACCAGTTGGCGCCGTCAACCCTTGCCACCATAACACCCCGCCGCCCTCCTGGGCGTGTGTGACACAACTCACCAGTTGGCGCCGTCAACCCTTGCCACCATAACACCCCGCCGCCCTCCTGGGCGTGTGTGACACAACTCACCAGTTGGCGCCGTCAACCCTTGCCACCATAACACCCCGCCACCCTCCTGGGCGTGTGTGACACAACTCACCAGTTGGCGCCGTCAACCCTTGCCACCATAACACCCCGCCACCCTCCTGGGCGTGTGTGACACAACTCACCAGTTGGCGCCGTCAACCCTTGCCACCATAACACCCCGCCACCCTCCTGGGCGTGTGTGACACAACTCACCAGTTGGCGCCGTCAACCCTTGACACCATAACACGTCAACAATGTCACCAGTCTCAGAGCAGCAGGCAAGTTGGAGTGGTATAATGTTAGCGGGCGTCGTGTGTGACTGATCTTCCCGCCTATTACTGCCCGCTGATCACGCCCACTATAAACACTCCAACAAGCACTTCACCACAAATGGTAATGGTGTAATAGCCAGCCGTCGTCCTCCTCCTAGTAGCATCACCGCACTGTGACGGACTCTACACCAAGGCCAACACTGCCCTACATGATAATGGTGGCGACTTAACTCTCTGTTGCTGGGTCCTGTGGTAGGACAGGATAAGGGCGCTTCACTACCCCCAGTCCTTGACGTAGGGGACCCATAATGGGCAGGAATACCACCCATTATGACAGGATAAGGGCGCTTCACTACCACCAGTCCTTGACGTAGGGGACCCATAATGGGCAGGAATACCACCCATTATGACAGGATAAGGGCGCTTCACTACCACCAGTCCTTGACGTAGGGGACCCATAATGGGCAGGAATACCACCCATTATGACAGCAACCATTGACCACACTGTGGCTACCTGTTACAAGAACCTTGTAGCTTGACTTATCCGGGTGGTAGTGTGAGCCCACAAGGACTACCAGGCTGTTTATAAGGACCACAGCCTGGTGATACACTTCACCTCTTAAACTGTCTACATCAGTGTAAGCACTGACGCCATGATGGAAGATGTACAGGCTTCGTCACTCACTGAGTACATGGTTGGCTATAGTGTGGCAACCATTACTAGAGGTTGCCACAGTGCTGGACCATTACTACAGGTTGCCAGAGGAGGTGATCACAATAGAGCAAGGCCCAGACGGTAATATTGACCACTAGAGGAGGTCATCACAATAGAGCAAGGCCCAGACGGTAATATTGGCCACTAGAAGAGGTCATCACAATAGAGCAAGGCCCAGACGAGTAATATTGGCCACTAGAGGAGGTCATCACAATAGAGCAAGGCCCAGACGGTAATATTGGCCACTAGAGGAGGTCATCACAATAGAGCAAGGCCCAGACGAGTAATATTGGCCACTAGAGGAGGTCATCACAATAGAGCAAGGCCCAGACGAGTAATATTGGCCACTAGAGGAGGTCATCACAATAGAGCAAGGCCCAGACGGTAATATTGGCCACTAGAAGAGGTCATCACAATAGAGCAAGGCCCAGACGAGTAATATTGGCCACTAGAGGAGGTCATCACAATAGAGCAAGGCCCAGACGAGTAATATTGGCCACTAGAGGAGGTCATCACAATAGAGCAAGGCCCAGACGAGTAATATTGGCCACTAGAGGAGGTCATCACAATAGAGCAAGGCCTAGACGAGTAATATTGGCCACTAGAGGATTATGTATGAGGACCAGGAGCTGGGGTATGAGGACCAGGAGCTGGGGTATGAGGACCAGGAGCTGGGGTATGAGGACCAGGAGCTGGGGTATGAGGACCAGGAGCTGGGGTATGAGGACCAGGAGCTGGGGTATGAGGACCAGGAGCTGGGGTATGAGGACCAGGAGCTGGGGTATGAGGACCAGGAGCTGGGGTATGAGGACCAGGAGCTGGGGTATGAGGACCAGGAGCTGGGGTATGAGGACCAGGAGCTGGGGTATGAGGACCAGGAGCTGGGGTATGAGGACCAGGAGCTGGGGTATGAGGACCAGGAGCTGGGGTATGAGGACCAGGAGCTGGGGTATGAGGACCAGGAGCTGGGGTATGAGGACCAGGAGCTGGGGTATGAGGACCAGGAGCTGGGGTATGAGGACCAGGAGCTGGGGTATGAGGACCAGGAGCTGGGGTATGAGGACCAGGAGCTGGGGTATGAGGACCAGGAGCTGGGGTATGAGGACCAGGAGCTGGGGTATGAGGACCAGGAGCTGGGGTATGAGGACCAGGAGCTGGGGTATGAGGACCAGGAGCTGGGGTATGAGGACCAGGAGCTGGGGTATGAGGACCAGGAGCTGGGGTATGAGGACCAGGAGCTGGGGTATGAGGACCAGGAGCTGGGGTATGAGGGACAAGGAGCTGGGGTATGAGGACCAGGAGCTGGGGTATGAGGACCAGGAGCTGGGGTATGAGGACCAGGAGCTGGGGTATGAGGACCAGGAGCTGGGGTATGAGGACCAGGAGCTGGGGTATGAGGACCAGGAGCTGGGATATGAGGACCAGGAGCTGGGATATGAGGACCAGGAGCTGGGGTATGAGGACCAGGAGCTGGGGTATGAGGACCAGGAGCTGGGGTATGAGGACCAGGAGCTGGGGTATGAGGACCAGGAGCTGGGGTATGAGGACCAGGAGCTGGGGTATGAGGACCAGGAGCTGGGGTATGAGGACCAGGAGCTGGGGTATGAGGACCAGGAGCTGGGGTATGAGGACCAGGAGCTGGGATATGAGGACAAGGAGCTGGGGTATGAGGACCAGGAGCTGGGGTATGAGGACCAGGAGCTGGGGTATGAGGACCAGGAGCTGGGGTATGAGGACCAGGAGCTGGGGTATGAGGACCAGGAGCTGGGGTATGAGGGTACAGTGTTCTAGTGTGTGAACACAGACCTAGGGTACAGTGTTCTAGTGTGTGAACACAGACCTAGGGTACAGTGTTCTAGTGTGTGAACACAGACCTAGGGTACAGTGTTCTAGTGTGAACACAGACCCAGGGTACAGTGTTCTAGTGTGTGAACACAGACCCAGGGTACAGTGTTCTAGTGTGTGAACACAGACCCAGGGTACAGTGTTCTAGTGTGAACACAGACCCAGGGTACAGTGTTCTAGTGTGAACACAGACCCAGGGTACAGTGTTCTAGTGTGAACACAGACCCAGGGTACAGTGTTCTAGTGTGAACACAGACCCAGGGTACAGTGTTCTAGTGTGAACACAGACCTAGGGTACAGTGTTCTAGTGTGTGAACACAGACCTAGGGTACAGTGTTCTAGTGTGTGAACACAGACCCAGGGTACAGTGTTCTAGTGTGTGAACACAGACCCAGGGTACAGTGTTCTAGTGTGAACACAGACCCAGGGTACAGTGTTCTAGTGTGTGAACACAGACCCAGGGTACAGTGTTCTAGTGTGAACACAGACCCAGGGTACAGTGTTCTAGTGTGAACACAGACCCAGGGTACAGTGTTCTAGTGTGAACACAGACCCAGGGTACAGTGTTCTAGTGTGTGAACACAGACCCAGGGTACAGTGTTCTAGTGTGAACACAGACCCAGGGTACAGTGTTCTAGTGTGAACACAGACCCAGGGTACAGTGTTCTAGTGTGTGAACACAGACCCAGGGTACAGTGTTCTAGTGTGAACACAGACCCAGGGTACAGTGTTCTAGTGTGAACACAGACCCAGGGTACAGTGTTCTAGTGTGTGAACACAGACCCAGGGTACAGTGTTCTAGTGTGAACACAGACCCAGGGTACAGTGTTCTAGTGTGAACACAGACCCAGGGTACAGTGTTCTAGTGTGAACACAGACCCAGGGTACAGTGTTCTAGTGTGAACAGACACAAAATATTCGCTCCACGAGACAACAAATAACATCATTTCGGTTAATATTTAAGGATTGGAAGTGCGGAAAGGTTGATGGCTCACCTTATCCGGAGCGGTGAGGGCCGGATACCGGAACACTGAGAGTCCGGATACGATAGTACAGCTGCAGGCGGAGGAGCGGCGACGTACGTTCCCCTCGGCGTCTACACACCAACTGACTGTCCTTCGCGCTGCCGGCACACTAAATATTCAATTTAATACAATTATACAGCTGTTTTCTACACTGATGTTGGCTGTAGTCTGATGTATTATGCTCAGTGTGTATTAAACTCTCTGCTACAGATTAAGTGTATCAGCTTGCAGCTTTAGCTATTAATAATTCGCTGTTATACTGACGGAGCTGCCAGCCGTTTAATAAATGAAATATGTTGTATTTGCTACGTTTGTATGCATTATACAGCAAACATACACATGGGCAGCATTATAATACACTCTCCACTTGCCGCGGTGTATATTAAATCTACAATATAGGACAAATATGCGCAAGAGATATCTGTATCCTATTTATACACTCTCTATGCTTGTCACAGCAAACTTGCCAATGATGTAATCCTGCTGACATATACAGTCGCAGTTAGCGAGGATGTATTGTTGGTGTATTAGTACCCGAGACTGGTACTTGCTACATTATGCAGCTGAATGAGGGCATTAATGATGAAGCCGAGCTGTGATTGGCTGGCGCTGAGGCGCACCCCCGGCACCACCAATCACAGCCCGAGTTTAGTGGGCCTGGGCAACCAGTGCTAAAAATAGCCCCGGGTAAATACCTTATAATTCATATTTTAAGTAATTATTATACATTGTAATTGATTTATTGTGTGTATTATTGCTGAGAAAAAGGTGTATTTATTTTTATATAAGTCAAAAGGGAGAAAATACGTTATTTGGAAGATGGTCGACCATAGCCCTGTACTGCCACTACGTCACAAACACGACGGTTTAGGCTGACAAGACGCCCACGAACCCACTCAACCCTCCTAACCCGCCCAGGTCGACGTACGGAGAGCGTCAATAATATGGTGGTTTGATTTGTACAAATGCGTCGCATTTTGAACGTTAAGTCCGTTATAAACGAGAGGTGTTAGAGGAGACGGTACAGTGGCCGCTGCCAAGACCCGCGACCTTCTTCCCGCTCACCCCTGTGGCAGACACCACGTGTGGCAGACACCCCTGTGGCAGACACCACGTGTGGCAGACACCACGTGTGGCAGACACCACGTGTGGCAGACACCCCTGTGGCAGACACTAGTGTGGCAGACACCCCTGTGGCAGACACCGGCAGACACTAGTGTGGCAGACACCCCTGTGGCAGACACCCCTGTGGCAGACACCACGTGTGGCAGACACCCCTGTGGCAGACACCACGTGTGGCAGACACCCCTGTGGCAGACACTAGTGTGGCAGACACCCCTGTGGCAGACACTAGTGTGGCAGACACCCCTGTGGCAGACACTAGTGTGGCAGACACCCCTGTGGCAGACACTAGTGTGGCAGACACCCCTGTGGCAGACACTAGTGTGGCAGACACCCCTGTGGCAGACACTAGTGTGGCAGACACCCCTGTGGCAGACACTAGTGTGGCAGACACTAGTGTGGCAGACACCCCTGTGGCAGACACTAGTGTGGCAGACACCCCTGTGGCAGACACCCCTGTGGCAGACACTAGTGTGGCAGACACCCCTGTGGCAGACACTAGTGTGGCAGACACCCCTGTGGCAGACACCCCTGTGGCAGACACTAGTGTGGCAGACACCCCTGTGGCAGACACCCCTGTGGCAGGCACTAGTGTGGCAGACACCCCTGTGGCAGACACTAGTGTGGCAGACACCCCTGTGGCAGACACCCCTGTGGCAGACACTAGTGTGGAAGACACCCCTGTGGCAGACACCCCTGTGGCAGACACCCCTGTGGCAGACACTAGTGTGGCAGACACCCCTGTGGCAGACACTAGTGTGGCAGACACCCCTGTGGCAGACACCCCTGTGGCAGACACTAGTGTGGCAGACACTAGTGTGGCAGACACCCCTGTGGTAGACACCCCATGTGGCAGACACCGGCAGACACCGGCAGACACCCCGTGTGGCAGACACCCCGTGTGGCAGACACCCCGTGTGGCAGACACCGGCAGACACCCCGTGTGGCAGACACCCCGTGTGGCAGACACCGGCAGACACCCCGTGTGGCAGACACCGGCAGACACCGGCAGACACCCCGTGTGGCAGACACCCCGTGTGGCAGACACCCCCGTGTGGCAGACACCGGCAGACACCCCCGTGTGGCAGACACCGGCAGACACCCCCGTGTGGCAGACACCCCGTGTGGCAGACACCGGCAGACACCCCCGTGTGGCAGACACCCCATGTGGCAGACACCCCGTGTGGCAGACACCGGCAGACACCCCGTGTGGCAGACACCCTGTGTGGCAGACACCCCGTGTGGCAGACACCGGCAGACACCCCGTGTGGCAGACAACATTGTGAACAAGGAGCTGGACATAAGAACAAGGAGCTGGGACATAAGAACAAGGCGCAGGACATAAGAACAAGGCGCTGGGACATAAGAACAAGGAGCTGGGACATAAGAACAAGGAGCTGGGACATAAGAACAAGGAGCTGGGACATAAGAACAAGGAGCTGGGACATAAGAACAAGGAGCTGGGACATAAGAACAAGGCGCAGGACATAAGAACAAGGAGCTGGGACATAAGAACAAGGAGCTGGGACATAAGAACAAGGAGCTGGGACATAAGAACAAGGAGCTGGGACATAAGAACAAGGCGCAGGACATAAGAACAAGGCGCAGGACATAAGAACAAGGAGCTGGACATAAGAACAAGGAGCTGCGACATAAGAACAAGGCGCAGGACATAAGAACAAGGAGCTGGGACATAAGAACAAGGAGCTGGGACATAAGAACAAGGAGCTGGGACATAAGAACAAGGAGCTGGGACATAAGAACAAGGCGCAGGACATAAGAACAAGGAGCTGGGACATAAGAACAAGGAGCTGGGACATAAGAACAAGGAGCTGGGACATAAGAACAAGGAGCTGGGACATAAGAACAAGGCGCAGGACATAAGAACAAGGCGCAGGACATAAGAACAAGGAGCTGGGACATAAGAACAAGGCGCAGGACATAAGAACAAGGAGCTGGGACATAAGAACAAGGAGCTGGGACATAAGAACAAGGAGCTGGGACATAAGAACAAGGCGCAGGACATAAGAACAAGGAGCTGGGACATAAGAACAAGGAGCTGGGACATAAGAACAAGGAGCTGGGACATAAGAACAAGGAGCTGGGACATAAGAACAAGGCGCAGGACATAAGAACAAGGAGCTGGGACATAAGAACAAGGAGCTGGGACATAAGAACAAGGAGCTGGGACATAAGAACAAGGAGCTGGGACATAAGAACAAGGAGCTGGGACATAAGAACAAGGAGCTGGACATAAGAACAAGGCGCAGGACATAAGAACAAGGAGCTGGGACATAAGAACAAGGAGCTGGACATAAGAACAAGGCGCAGGACATAAGAACAAGGCGCAGGACATAAGAACAAGGAGCTGGGACATAAGAACAAGGAGCTGGGACATAAGAACAAGGAGCTGGACATAAGAACAAGGAGCTGGGACATAAGAACAAGGAGCTGGGACATAAGAACAAGGCGCAGGACATAAGAACAAGGAGCTGGACATAAGAACAAGGAGCTGGGACATAAGAACAAGGAGCTGGGACATAAGAACAAGGAGCTGGGACATAAGAACAAGGAGCTGGGACATAAGAACAAGGAGCTGGGACATAAGAACAAGGAGCTGGGACATAAGAACAAGGAGCTGGGACATAAGAACAAGGAGCTGGGACATAAGAACAAGGAGCTGGGACATAAGAACAAGGAGCTGGGACATAAGAACAAGGAGCTGGGACATAAGAACAAGGAGCTGGGACATAAGAACAAGGAGCTGGACATAAGAACAAGGAGCTGGACATAAGAACAAGGAGCTGGGACATAAGAACAAGGAGCTGGGACATAAGAACAAGGAGCTGGACATAAGAACAAGGAGCTGGGACATAAGAACAAGGAGCTGGGACATAAGAACAAGGAGCTGGGACATAAGAACAAGGAGCTGGGACATAAGAACAAGGAGCTGGGACATAAGAACAAGGAGCTGGGACATAAGAACAAGGAGCTGGGACATAAGAACAAGGAGCTGGGACATAAGAACAAGGAGCTGGGACATAAGAACAAGGAGCTGGGACATAAGAACAAGGAGCTGGGACATAAGAACAAGGAGCTGGGACATAAGAACAAGGAGCTGGGACATAAGAACAAGGAGCTGGGACATAAGAACAAGGAGCTGGGACATAAGAACAAGGAGCTGGGACATAAGAACAAGGAGCTGGGACATAAGAACAAGGAGCTGGGACATAAGAACAAGGAGCTGGGACATAAGAACAAGGAGCTGGGACATAAGAACAAGGAGCTGGGACATAAGAACAAGGAGCTGGGACATAAGAACAAGGAGCTGGGACATAAGAACAAGGAGCTGGGACATAAGAACAAGGAGCTGGGACATAAGAACAAGGAGCTGGGACATAAGAACAAGGAGCTGGGACATAAGAACAAGGAGCTGGGACATAAGAACAAGGAGCTGGGACATAAGACATAAGAACAAGGAGCTGGGACATAAGAACAAGGAGCTGGGACATAAGAACAAGGAGCTGGGACATAAGAACAAGGAGCTGGGACATAAGAACAAGGAGCTGGGACATAAGAACAAGGAGCTGGGACATAAGAACAAGGAGCTGGGACATAAGAACAAGGAGCTGGGACATAAGAACAAGGAGCTGGGACATAAGAACAAGGAGCTGGGACATAAGAACAAGGAGCTGGGACATAAGAACAAGGAGCTGGGACATAAGAACAAGGAGCTGGGACATAAGAACAAGGAGCTGGGACATAAGAACAAGGAGCTGGGACATAAGAACAAGGAGCTGGGACATAAGAACAAGGAGCTGGGACATAAGAACAAGGAGCTGGGACATAAGAACAAGGAGCTGGGACATAAGAACAAGGAGCTAAGAACAAGGAGGACATAAGAACAAGGCGCAGGACATAAGAACAAGGAGCTGGGACATAAGAACAAGGAGCTGGACATAAGAACAAGGAGCTGGGACATAAGAACAAGGAGCTGGGACATAAGAACAAGGCGCAGGACATAAGAACAAGGCGCAGGACATAAGAACAAGGAGCTGGGACATAAGAACAAGGCGCAGGACATAAGAACAAGGAGCTGGGACATAAGAACAAGGAGCTGGGACATAAGAACAAGGAGCTGGGACATAAGAACAAGGAGCTGGGACATAAGAACAAGGCGCAGGACATAAGAACAAGGAGCTGGGACATAAGAACAAGGAGCTGGACATAAGAACAAGGCGCAGGACATAAGAACAAGGAGCTGGGACATAAGAACAAGGAGCTGGGACATAAGAACAAGGCGCAGGACATAAGAACAAGGAGCTGGGACATAAGAACAAGGAGCATAAGGGACACAAGAACAAGGAGCTGGACATAAGAACAAGGCGCAGGACATAAGAACAAGGAGCTGGGACATAAGAACAAGGAGCTGGGACATAAGAACAAGGAGCTGGGACATAAGAACAAGGCGCAGGACATAAGAACAAGGAGCTGGACATAAGAACAAGGAGCTGGGACATAAGAACAAGGAGCTGGGACATAAGAACAAGGTGCTGGGACATAAGAACAAGGAGCTGGGAACAAGGAGCTGGGACATAAGAACAAGGAGCTGGGACATAAGAACAAGGAGCTGGGACATAAGAACAAGGAGCTGGGACATAAGAACAAGGAGCTGGGACATAAGAACAAGGAGCTGGGACATAAGAACAAGGAGCTGGGACATAAGAACAAGGAGCTGGGACATAAGAACAAGGAGCTGGGACATAAGAACAAGGAGCTGGGACATAAGAACAAGGAGCTAAGGGACACATAAGAACAAGGAGCTGGGACATAAGAACAAGGAGCTGGGACATAAGAACAAGGAGCTGGGACATAAGAACAAGGAGCTGGGACATAAGAACAAGGAGCTGGGACATAAGAACAAGGAGCTGGGACATAAGAACAAGGAGCTGGGACATAAGAACAAGGAGCTGGGACATAAGAACAAGGAGCTGGACATAAGAACAAGGAGCTGGGACATAAGAACAAGGAGCAGGACATAAGAACAAGGAGCTGGGACATAAGAACAAGGAGCTGGGACATAAGAACAAGGAGCAGGACATAAGAACAAGGCGCAGGGACATAAGAACAAGGAGCTGGGACATAAGAACAAGGAGCTGGGACATAAGAACAAGGAGCTGGGACATAAGAACAAGGAGCTGGGACATAAGAACAAGGAGCTGGGACATAAGAACAAGGAGCTGGGACATAAGAACAAGGAGCAGGACATAAGAACAAGGAGCTGGGACATAAGAACAAGGAGCTGGGACATAAGAACAAGGAGCTGGGACATAAGAACAAGGAGCTGGGACATAAGAACAAGGAGCTGGGACATAAGAACAAGGAGCTGGGACATAAGAACAAGGAGCTGGGACATAAGAACAAGGAGCTGGGACATAAGAACAAGGAGCTGGGACATAAGAACAAGGAGCTGGGACATAAGAACAAGGAGCTGGGACATAAGAACAAGGAGCTGGGACATAAGAACAAGGAGCTGGGACATAAGAACAAGGAGCTGGGACATAAGAACAAGGAGCTGGGACATAAGAACAAGGAGCTGGGACATAAGAACAAGGAGCTGGGACATAAGAACAAGGAGCTGGGACATAAGAACAAGGAGCAGGGACATAAGAACAAGGAGCTGGGACATAAGAACAAGGAGCTGGGACATAAGAACAAGGAGCTGGGACATAAGAACAAGGAGCTGGGACATAAGAACAAGGAGCTGGGACATAAGAACAAGGAGCTGGGACATAAGAACAAGGAGCTGGGACATAAGAACAAGGAGCTGGGACATAAGAACAAGGAGCTGGGACATAAGAACAAGGAGCTGGGACATAAGAACAAGGAGCTGGGACATAAGAACAAGGAGCTGGGACATAAGAACAAGGAGCTGGGACATAAGAACAAGGAGCTGGGACATAAGAACAAGGAGCTGGGACATAAGAACAAGGAGCTGGGACATAAGAACAAGGAGCTGGGACATAAGAACAAGGAGCTGGGACATAAGAACAAGGAGCTGGGACATAAGAACAAGGAGCTGGGACATAAGAACAAGGAGCTGGGACATAAGAACAAGGAGCTGGGACATAAGAACAAGGAGCTGGGACATAAGAACAAGGAGCTGGGAGCTGGGACATAAGAACAAGGAGCTGGGACATAAGAACAAGGAGCTGGGACATAAGAACAAGGAGCTGGGACATAAGAACAAGGAGCTGGGACATAAGAACAAGGAGCTGGGACATAA